ATTAGGAAGAGAGAATTATCCCACTAACTCCTAAATTTTTGTATTCAATTGGAATGTAAGTTTTTAGAATCTAGCTCATATTTGTAAAGAGTCATAGGATGGCCCTGGATATCTTTGCATGTACAGAGGGGAGCCAAAGCAATTAAAATTTACCTTCAGTGATCTCTCATTTTCTTTAGTTATATGCTCTCTAGTTTCATTGAAGCCTTTGTTTTCTACAGTTTTTCTCCTCAGACAGCATCCTGTGCTATTCCTTCTGACAACTCTCCTTCTGTCATTCGTGCATAATAATAGAGATAACTGTTATCTATTCATAAAGGTACCTACCTGCAAGAGATAGTACTTATACTCAGGACGTGTGTCAGATGAAGGCAGGTAACTCAAGCTGGAAGAGGAATGTCCCAGACATTGATTCTTCGAGCAAATGTCTATTAGCCTTGTGAGCTAAGTGAAACTGACAAAGTTTTGGGGGGAGTGTGCATATACACAAAAACACAACTTCACAATCCTCGTAATGAATTAGAAGACCAGAGTTCAATTCTGGTCTCTCTTACTTCTTATGTTTAACTCCAAAAAATTCCTGAAGATGTCTCTGAACCTCATTTTTTTCTCATGGACAAAACATGCTACAATTTAGGCAAACCTAAAGCATCCTTTGAGCACCCATTGTTTTGGTCTTTCTGAAGGTCCAAATGTTGTCATTAATCTGTAACTATAATCTTTTTATAATGTCCCCCTCTTAGTTTTGGATGTTTGAAAAGCTGTGATTTCTGTTCCACCGATTCTTTCATTCCCATCTTCTTTGAAAACTTCTCTATGACAAATTCCTGAGTGTTCTCACTTAGAGTTACTTAGCTTTCCCTCACTTCTTCCATTTCACTGTACATGACTTAGATTCTCTTTCTTATCATTACAATCTTTCCATTATGATTAGAGTGTTGTTTAATTGAAAGTTATGAGCTTTAATGTCAGACCAACCTAAGCTTCAACCTAGACTCAAAATACTATTTTCAGAATGATTCTTGAGAAAGAAAGTCTCAACAGTTAGGTTAGAAGCGATTCACTAGCTCTACTTTATAAACAGGAGAATCAGTTTAGAGATGCCATCTCATTTAATCTTGCTTTATCAAATATACAACCAATTTCCTGAGATGGGTGCTGTTCAGTACACATAGGAGACAAATTCTTTCCTTGAAGATACTCTATCCAGTCAGTGAGATTTTAAACTGCATGGTCCCATAAATACTAGGATTGGGTCAGAAATACTAGGATTAGAATATCTTTAAATTTTTTTTAATGTTTTTTAAACTTTATTTGAGAGAGAGAGAGACAGTGTGAGCAGGGGAGGGTCAGAGAGAGAGGGAGACACAGAATCTCAAATAAGCTCCAGGCTCTGAGTTGGCTGTCAGCACAGAGCCCGATGCAGGGCTCAAACCCACGAACTGTGAGGTCATGACCTGAGCTTAAGTAGGACACTTAACCAACTGAGCCACCCAGGCGCCTCTAGAATATCTTTAATATAAAGAATGTATCATATAAATAAAAAATAATATACCATGGAATATATAAATGTATGTTGACTAAGAAGAAAATAATAAAAATAAACATCTACTTTAATGACAGAGTTTCTGTCTTCTACAATCATCAAAAGGACAATGACCACAGTGACAACAGTATGTATAACACTGTTTGGCCAACTGAGTTACTCAGCAAAAAATCTTTGTATAGCAAATAAAATAGTGCTGGAATTAGGAAAATAAAAATATATTGAAAACTATTACCTGCAAAGTACATTCCACAATTATTTTCTCTGCAAAAACAGAATAATATAGGAACCTCTAAAATACAATGTGATGTATTTCATTCTCATCCCAGGTATTATGAGGCACTATTTTGTTCTCAAACAAAAACATGCATTTAAAACTGTTTATCTTCAATCTAGTTTCTTTCGAATTCAAGGTTAGTTTCAGAAAAATAAGAAGCTACCCTTCTAGGGTTTTGATAGCATGGGATTATGGGATGAAAATTACAAATATAAGATTAACTGCAATAAACTAATTTGGCATATGTGTGTGTATAAATATAAACATATATATGTGTGTATGTAAATATATAGCATATATTTATATTTAATATATAAATATATATAGTTTTTCCATGTTGATATTCATGTTTAAATTGTGCATTTATATAGCTTTTATAGTGATGCCCACTGTTACCTTATCTTTTTGACTGACAATGATGTGATTTCAGTCACGCTCAGCCTTTCCCACAGTGCCAGTGATGGGATTTTTTGAAATCTTATTACTGGTTGCACTGTCCTGATCTCAGATGGAACTTTCAATCAAAAAGGCAATCAGAATGTTATACATTCGTGAGATTCCCTGCAAAGCCAGTGATCGCATAATACAACTTGTTGGAAGGGCCTCCTTGCCCCTGGTCCTTATGTGGCTATAAAGAGTAATTGGCTACTTAGCTCTCAGCACCCGCTTTTCCATCTCCAAAATACAGCACAGACCAGAAGAGTCTCAGTGTAGAATCTGGCTGCTCCTAGGAGATTTCCAACTCTTATGCATAGACTTGTCTTACTTTAAGCATCTGATTAGGGAAACTCTCCCCAAAACACATTTGACTTTTTCTAAGCATCTAACTTTCACTGGTGATGCCAGATCTAAGTTTTATTTTCCATACACACAAGCACCTGCACATTTTTCCAAAGCATTTTCACTGTCAAGTTTATATTTCAGAAATCACAATTCTGTGCAGCGTGTCAATACTTGAGTATAGGGGCACTTGGGTGGCTCAGTCGATTAAACATCTGACTTCGGCTCAGGTCATGATCTCGTGGTTTGAGAGTTCAAGCACATGTCAGGCTCTGTGCTGACAGCTCAGAGCCTGGAACCTGCTTCGGATTCTTTGTTTCCTTCTCTCTCTGCCCCTCCCTGCTTGTGCTCTGTCTCTCTGTCTCACAAATAAATAAACATTAAAAAGTATTTTTTAAATACTTGAGTATAATTTCTAGCATATTTTAACCATCCTATTATAAACTATGTTTAATCTTGTAACTGTACTCTTAAAATATTACTGTAAGGAGTATGCTCTTAATATTCTATGGTAAACATGAATGGATATTTAAAAGATATTTTTGTAATGTGATTTGTTGGAATAGTAGAAAGGGTTGGGGCTGAATTGATTCCCCGTGGTGTCCAGTCACCCAGAGATGTGTCAGTTTCCCAGACAGGAACTTTGAATTGTGAGGTGGGCAGAGGGAGATAATTTTGTCTCGCTTGATTCCCACTCAACATTATTTGCTGTTAGGCAGAGAAACCTTGTGCAGGGGTGAGTTTTAAGAATGGAAAACAACTAATGCTTAGGACACAATAGAAACCTACAGTCACATTAAAATGCCTGTGAACTGAATCAGCATTTTATTTGAAAACTAACCACACATGTATATGAAAGACATATGTCAGTATTACTGCAACAGAAAACAATGCAGATATAAAAATACTTGCTGTGATAAAATTCAAAAAATGTATTATTTAAGGAGTTGAGCATGGAGTATTCAAATCTTGAAACAGGTTGGGAACCTCAACCTCTTGATTGAGGAAGTCCGAATAAGTCTATTGCTAAAATACAAAGTACTTAAATTGAGGTGTGTGTGTCCGTGTGCATGTGCACGCACTCCTTGGATCTTTATGTAAATTCAGGGTACTCTAAAAGTTCTATTGAACTTGTTTTTATTTACTTGATTCCATATTATGAAACCTTAAATGAGCTTTAAAAGCACAAAAATGCTAGTTTGGTGGGGGCATGGTAAATTGCCAAGATATTAATGCTTTCATTCTCCCTTCCTGGGCAAAGTAAACTTTGAGGTAAGTTTTAGGGAACTAGTATGCCAGACACCATCTCTTATCATCCAAAACCACCATATAAACTTTATCCTATTGATTATCAAGATTATAAGATATACATTTTATATTCCTGAAGGAAAGTGTAGTTTTCCCATCAGACATGTCTGTATGTAATCTATGGCACTTCATTGAAAAGTACACTAGAGATGCGTCTGTTATACAAGAAATAAGTAAAAAGGTAATGATTTCACCTTGGTTTAGTCAGAATATTACCACTGGTTACTATTGCAACTACTATTAATAATCTACATTCACTAAGTATTTGTTTTAGAGACTGTCAAGCTGTAACATAAAGTTACTTTGGACCATTACTTTTACCTCAAGAAAAAGTGTCCAGAAACCCCAGAGGTGTAAGCATGAAACATGAACTGTTCTCAGGCAACAGGCACTCGCTGAGTCAACTAAGTCCCTAGATAGTTGTAAATTCCAATATTCAAACATTTTGTTTCTGTCACATTGGAGGCAGTCTTCAGGATTTGATATCTTCAGTTTTCTAGCCGAAATCATGCTCTTCCCAGGCAACCCTAAGCCAAGGACTGAAATGGCACAGGAACTAGACCCCAACTATGTTTTCCCCAGTGAGAAAGCCCTCATCAAGCAGTCTTTCACTCAGAACCCATTTGGCAGAAGTTGATCAGATCTGTATTGCGATTTAGATCTCTGTTGCCAAATCTGCTTACTGATCACCTTCCTTCTATGGGTTTTAGACCTGTACTCCTTTCTGAAGTCTTTCCCTGCTTATTCCTGCTTCTTTTCTCTTTTACTCTTAACTCTGTTCCAGCTTCTGCTGCCAGGAGGACCCAGCCCGCACAGCTGGACTAGCTTTTCGGTACACTACGTTCCTTTAATGTCCCTGTTGCTGTGTGATCATGGCCAGGTTTTTTCTCTTGCCTGCTTCTTTATAATAAAGACTCTTACAAATAAAAGTGATAGTTGGGATGATTTAGTAGAACATTCTAGAATTCTAATTAGAGTTGATGTCTGTTAACAGGTCTTCATCTGATTAGGAAAAAAAAAGTGATGACAACAAAGGTATTTATAAAAATATATTTCACAAAGTAGGAAACAATACAGGAGTTTCTCTGAATACAATACATGAAGTAAATAAACAATATTGCATTAAAGCAAAGTAGAAAATTAAAATGATCTGCGTGTAGTACTTGATTTTTATCATACATTTTCTACTCCTAAATGGCAGGATTGTGTTACAAATTGAATATGCTCACATCTTCTAGCGCTGTCCTTTTTTGGAGTCTACGACGTTCTGTGCATCACCATGAGGATCAGGGAGAGAAGGGCTAAAAACAAAAGCAGTAAAATTATGTACAAACCAGTTTCTGCTCTAAAACAGTGGGGGCAACTTGAAGCGTGTTTACTGGGCAGGGAATTATGTAGGTATCTAAAAGTCTAGAGTTTAAATAGTCACATGAATCAGTATACTTTCAGATGTTTGTGCTTGTAGTAAAAACACCAAATACTAGGATTATGAACAAAATAGAAAACAGTCCAAAAGTTTCTCTGGGAAAATGCTGCTCCTGCCATCACCAGCCACAATAACACTTTCTACTCTAAAGAGACTCTTAGCTCCCCTTTTGATAATATTGCCTGCCATACTCATCTCATCAAAATGTACATGTATTAAACATTCATTGTATATATATATTTATATAAAACAATCTAAAGGATTATTAATGGATATAATTTAGTTTTTTCGTATAGTCCCTTAATCTATATAGATTACCAACCTTAATAAATAAAAGCATTAATGGACATCAATAAAATATTTATTTCGAGGATTAAACAAATAAATTCACGCGCTAGCAATAAAACCATCTGTCTTTATGTAGTCCGCTGTGTGATACGGTTTATCTTTGTGTCCTTGTGGAAGAAGATGAAGTGGAGGGAACGAGTAATCCTGCTTCCAGAAAACAAGCCTGTTTGAATGGGATTTCTCTCCTCCCACCACTGAGTTGGCAATCCCCACCCGGAATGGATTACGAACATGTGAATATTTTAAGGCTCGACACAATATTTAAAGATGCTATTCAGTCTCTGATGAGTGGGGCCAACAGTTATGTACAATGTGCGGTCACCGTACCGTATAATCTAGGAGGCCTCCCAAAACTCCAGAAAGTCATCACGTACAGCAGACCAAGTATTGCTTTATCATTTGTGGCGGAATCCTTATTGGTGAAGGGGAAAAAACCATTTGCATTTATAAAAATCCTTGCAGAAGACACATATCAGCAGCACATTTCTTGCAGGTCCATTTTTCTAAGAAAGCACCTTTTAATTTTGATTTTTTCCTCTTTTTAAACCATCTCTCTAAGGATTAGCCAGGATCCCAATCTTTGTCTGTGGTGGCTAGGTAAATATCAAATATCCAAAGACTTCTAGACACTCCACATATTTTAATTCACACTCCACAAGATTTATAACCTCCTAACATATACTTTTTATTATTAATTTTTGGTTCAACATTGAAATGTAGTTGAGTTTATAGATGATTGGTGCTAAACTTGCCTCTAAAACAAATAGCCACATTGGTTGTATCTAAGGGGTGTGACCCTAGAATATTACAGAATGCTCAGTTCCACTGATTAATTCATAATCCACTGTCAAGTTTCTTTGTCACTTTCACCAACAGAGTAGAGTTCTCCCAGTCTCTTAAAGCGGGGACCCCAGTCACTGAGGTAGTCAAAATTCTGGTCTGAGTCTGAGGTGGTGGACTCCAAGGAGCTGAGGGAGCCAGCCACCGACCCTCGGCCTTCATAGCCATAAATCTGAATGGAGTCATATGGCGGGGCAGTTGGGTCATTATCTGCCTCATGTAGCCGCACATTTATGAATTCATCGACATCAACACCATTCGGAACAGGAGCAAGCCCTTGCCTTGGCATAAACTGCAAATCTGGTTTAATATCCTTACGGGGTAAAAATCCATTAATTCCATCTGGGTTTTGTAAAGTTGCGATATCAAAAGCTTCTGTATCTTCCTCCCCTCCTCCTTCATCATCATAACGTATGATGTTTTCTCGTACATCTTCATCATCTTTAATAATTAACGGCTCATTTTTATGCCGCCGCAGAGTTACAAACAGCACCACGATGACTGTAGGAAAAATGTGAAATAACAATTAGCTCAACATGCAGATAATTTCACAAGCAACATGTTATATACGTTACGAGAGAGTGGCATTCTTTAGAAACTTACCAGCATATAGCCTTAATACCATTCACTTGGGAATTAAGTTAAACACCTTTCTGAAGGATGGGGATTGAATTCTGAGTGAATATTATTCCACGCTGCTTCTGTTTATTAAATGGTGATGAAGTTGGGTTAAAAGAATTAATCTGCATCTATCCATGGTGAAAGCTGCATGTAAAACTGTTATGAGCTCTAGAATAAATGGCACATAATAGAAAACAGCAAAGATAAAATAATTAACTTGCTGTGGCTCTTGGGGAGGCATTTAATATCCTTTGATTCTATGTCCTTCTTCGATAAAGAAAAAGGAGCAGAGTAAATCATATCTAGTATATTTTGTGTTTTATCAGCTCTTCAAGACTCTCTCCAATCAAATAATGCTCACTCACAGATGAAGTGATATATCAAGATGAATGTCAATCTGGCATAGACAATTTCTTATCTTCTATGAAAGCTGGGACTTCTCTATCTGGGAAAATAAGCGTAAAGGTGGGCAAAATGAAAGCAATACATACCCAACAAGCAAAGCCAGCCAAACCAAAGTAGGGTTCACAGGGTAAAATATGTCTGGAAGTAATGTTAATCCAGGCAGTGGGAGAACAGAAAGGATGCGACTGGAAAAGTAGTAACTGAAATAACCTTTATTAAAGGACAGGATAAGATATAACTTTCTTCTTGTATATCTTCCTCCTCTCTAATGTCATTTTTATAATTAGAAATTTTTAATGGAAAAGTTACAAAAAGTTTTCCTTCCTTTTTCAGTCTTCATTTGAATTTGATGTTAATATCAAGAAAAACATCTGAAGAACACAGTGTAATTTTGAAAAAAAAATGTTGTTTGCTTGTTTGTTATCTTTTAGTCTGACCAAACGTTGTGTTTGGATGAACTTAGCAACCCAATCTATACATTGTTTAGAGAAAAGAGTATTTTGGACAAATGAGAGCCTCCCATTGTGATAAACTGGTGTACATCAGATCTTCAGGCCTTCTTGTATAGTAGATGCTGTTGTAACCACATAAAGATCCGTCCCCACTTCCACCACCATTAGAATTAGCCTATCTTTTTGCTGGTGATGGGATTGAAAAAGGCACTGAATTGTCTTCTCCTTATTTACATGTTGCTCCTTATTTACAGTCATTTATGAACCAGAAAAATGGTGACCATTAAGCTATGAAGGAAATACGTACCTAGCAGCAAAATGATGCATGCTAATATGGCAATTAAGGCGCCCATACTGAGTCCAATCGGAAGGACATAAGCTTCAACATTACAAGACTGGACAACACCATCACTGCTGCAGCCACAGACCCGGATGGTCAGGGTGCTAGTGCTGCTCAGAGGAGGATTCCCACTATCACTGATTATGATTGGTAAAAGATAGACTTCTTGCTTCTGGCGGTTGAATCCATTATGCTTTGCCAAAATGCTGAGGGAATTATCTGGAAAAAGTGAAAATTACAATAGTTTGCATCATTTCCAAATGGCTGCCCAACAACACTTTTTTTTTTCTAGTTCATAAATCCTCTGCAAAACTCAAGACAACCCCAACTCCACTAGACCACTTAGATTCTTTCCCTCTCCTCCCAGCCCACTTCCCCGATTGGCATGGACCAAAACATCCATGCTCTAGCAGGTTTAATAAATGAACTAATGACATTTTACCATCACTTTGTAAATGCAAAGTATTTCTTTTATAAAAATAGTCTTCAAGTGTCCTTTCAGAAGACACAAAATAACCCATGTTTCCATAAATAAGTTCAATGTTTTTCCTCATTTATCCTGATAATACAAAATTGGCTGAACAGAATTTGACCATATTTGAAAGGCATGTTTGAGAAGCTCCACATTGAAAGATAGATTATATGACAATATGGCATATAAAATAACACATTTTGGTGCCTCTCACAGCTAACCTAAAAAGAGTCACTCATGCCCTTGAGCATTTAAATTAACAAAAGTCCCATTTACTGCCAATTGGAGGAGATATGCCACATATATTAAAATTCTGTAGAGAAGACCTATAGTGGTTACACAAAAAAGAATAAAAGTCATAGGAGTGGATGCTTCATTTTACATGTATCAGTCAATTATATGGAGAGATATATTGGTTATCTAGAGCAACATTTCAAGACATTAAGACATACTGAAGGGGACATTTCAGCTTAGGGTAAAACTTGTCAGTGAAGAGTAATTCAACCCACGCTAGCCCTATGGTTCTCAAAATTTCACCCCTCAAAATAAATTTCCGTGGTCATTCATGCCTAGCTTATCAACTATAGTCATACTGTATTTATTAATTATTAATGTTTTCTCATTTTGATTAATGAAAGATATATCTATTCAGAATGGGAACACATTATCCTTTTGATATTTTATTATTATTACTTTTTAATGTTTTTATTTCTGAGAGAGAGAGAGAGAGAGCGTGAGCAGGGGAGGGTCAGAGAGAGAGGGAGACACAGAATCCAAAGCAGGCTTCAGGCTCTGAGCTGTCAGTACAGAGTGCGACGTGGTGCTTGAACCCACGAACCGTGAGATCATGACCTGAACCAAGTCGGACGCTTAACCGACTGAGCCACCCAGGCACCCCTATACTTTTGATATTTTAGACAAAAGCAAATAAACATAATTTGGGTTAATGTGTGTAATATTATTTGAGCAAAAGGATTATTTCAGTTAAGATTTTTTTTCATGTATGGGCAAATTGGTAGACCCTAGAACACCGGGCTACCTCATTGTTGCATATTAAGTGGGGATTCCAAACCATTCGTGTCCAGTTCTTGGTCATCAGTGTCCTTCTGCCCTCTAGAACACTCAAGTACATGAACATATATTCCACTCAAATGGCTTTAAATAAATGTGTTATATTTTCTGTGCATATAGTGCTATACCAGAATTTTTAAAAAAGATAGCCATTCCCCAAAATAGATGTATAAATTATATTTATTTTTGTTTTGTTTAAGATATTAAATGTATCTGTAATGGCTTGCTAGTAAACAAACAGGAAAACATGCAGATTGAGTTACCATTTTTTTCTGAATTTCTTCTGGTTATACCTCATTATTTAGTAATTTGAATAGTGAAAAGAATTCTTTAATAGAGTTAAGTAATGATGTACCAAATGATCCAGTTATCTTTATTTCCAAGACCTAGAGGGAAATACCACTAAGCTAAAAAATGGGAGAACATTATCTCATAACAGATACAGAATATATAGTTTTATTTTCAGAAAATGTGTGACAAGTTGGAATATGGTTAATTAGTATAAGAAACATTTGTGGAAGATTTCACATACCATAGTTCAAAACAGAAGATGGGAATTGTTCTTCAAGATGCAATTAATAAAATTACAGGGAGGCTTTTGCATTTTTGTGGTTGACATTATTTATATGGGAAACTATTTTTGCATATCCTCTCTTTAAAACAATCTATAATGATAATTTAGAAACTACAGCAGGAATATTGCTCATTGTTGAAGAAAGCTATGCTCTTTAGAACTTATAAAAGCATTAATGAGTCCACCACTAAACTCATATTTTTTACTATTCCTGGCATATGTATATATTGTTCCCATCCTAGATACAGAAAATTATTGTCTGAGTAAAGGAAGTCTATGAGTAATTTTTGCCAAATTTTACCTGCTACATCCAGGCAAGTCAACTCCCTATTTGCCTATTCTTTTTATTTTTTTCCTTTTTTTAAAAAAAAACTACTTTTAACTGGTGTTTATATTTATTATTATTTTGAGTTATTTTGTTATGCCACATGAAATTTACACATTTAAAAAACAAGTATCACTAGTTTCACACAGTTCAAATTCCTGCATTTTAAATACATTTTTAAAAAATCTACATGTAGCAAATATCTTTTATGAAGTTGTGGTCAGTTTCTTTCTTCAACCAAACAGTGTTGAGGTTCCTCAAAAAATTGACAATAGAGCTCCCCTATGACCTGGCAATAGCACTGCTAGGAATTTACCCAAGAGATACAGGAATGCTGATGCATAGGAGCACATGTACCCCAATGTTCATAGCAGCACTCTCAACAATAGCTAAAACATGGAAAGAGCCTAAATGTCCATCAACTGACAAATGGATCAAGAAGATATGGTTTATATGTACAGTGGAATACTACATGGCAATGAGAAAGAATGAAATCTGGGCATTTGTAGCAACATGATGGAACTTGAGGATATTATGCTAAGTGAAATACATCAGGCAGAGAAAGAGAGATACCATATGTTTTCACTCATATGTGTATGAGGAGAAACTTAACAGAAGATCATGGAGGAGGGAAAGGGGAAAAAATAGTTACAGAGAGGGAGGGAGGCAAACCATAAGAGACCCTTAAATACGGAGAACAAACAGGGTTGATGGGGGTGGGGAAGAGGGGGAAATGGGTGATGGGCATGGAGGAGGGCGCTTGTTGAGATGAGCACTAGGTGTTTTATGGAAACCAATTCGACAATAAACTGTATTTCAGAAAAACTTACGGTGCCTTTTAATTTCATGAAAGCTTTAATTTAATATAGTCAGTTTTGTTCATCTCTTTTAGATTTGTGTTTCTAACCTGAGTTTTTAGAAGTGTGAATTACATAAAATATATTTATGTTGTTATCTTTCACATTTAAGTGATGGTATGGAATTGTGGTTTTTTGTTTGTTTGTTTGTTTTTCTTTCTGTACTGGTAATTGATTTCCCCAAGGTTAATTACTGAGTAACTTTTCCTTTACCCACTGCTCTTCAACTCTCAGTCTCTCACAAATCAATTTTTTTGTGCATCTTCATCCTTTTAGAGGCCCTGTATTATGTTCTGAATGCTCTGTTTTAATAATCCTATACCAATAATATGCTTTTTATGTATTAAAACTTCATAATAAATCTTGCTGTTTATTAGGCTAATTTCTCTTCCATCTTCTTCTTTAAGAGTATCATGGCTATTCTTGTTCATTTGCTAATCTCTGACACAGAATCAGATTATCAAGTTCCGTGAAAATCCCTACAAGAATTTTATTAGGAATTATATTAAACTATAAATCAGCTTTGAGAAAATTGGCATCATCTTTACCATCGTTAGTATTCCATTTAAGTTCATAGTTTCCCTATTTTCTTTAATATATATCAATAAACATGTTATTTTAAAATTTTACCTACAAGAGAAGTTCACATCTTTTGTTAGATTTATCATTGGTACTGTATGTATGTTGTTGCTCTGGTAATATTATCCTTTTAAAAATGCACTTTCTTATCACTTTTAATGATCAGTATATAAAGTGTAATTGTTTTATGCATTGATTTTAATTCTAGCAATCTTGTCAACTTTTCTTTTTATTTATAAAAAATGTATCTCATCACAGAATTCCACTTCAGCAAGACAATGATGCAAGGAGGTCCAGAGAACTGTTCCTTAGTGAAAATGGTGAAAATTATAAAAGGAAAACTATTTAACATCTCTGGAAATGGTCTTGGAGGCAAACAGCAAATGAAGAAACATTTATCCAAAAGAATCTACCAAAGGTTGGTAAGAATGGTGAGACTCATGTGTGAAGTAGAACCTACTTTCCATCTCTTCTCCTAGCTGTGTGAGATGGAAAATCCACTCTATACTGGTTCAGCCAAGAACACAGGGCTCCCTGTCCCCTCAGTTAAGACAGTTAAGGAACTGTCTTACAGTTCATACAGGGTGAGAGTAGCCTCATCTTACTCTATTATTGAAACTAAATTTTGAATGAGTGCAGCCAAAAGAGGGTTCCTTTCTTTCTCACAGCCCTCTCTTATGTGACAGAGGCTCTCCCTCGGCAGGGCTCCACTGGGAATATGGGGCCTCAATTGCCCCTGCCCTGGCCTATCAGGCAGTGGTTACACACTGGGAAGGGTAAGCCAAAAAACTTGAGGCTATTCCCCCACCCCCATGCCCCCAGCTCATCATCTAAAGCAGAGGCTTCATTCAGAGAAACCTATTACAGTTTGCAACTCAGCTCTGGAGCCAGTGGCTCACAGTTTGGGCTCAGTGGAGAAGCAGAGAACCCAGACAGAGATTGGGGGAGGAACATGCCCGGGCAGAACGCATCTGAAACACTAACTTAGAGAAATATCCTAGGAGTCCAAATTTGATTGGATTAGTCTGTAGAGCAATCTTGTCTCCCAAATTGAAAACGATACAGAAATCATCTGGCAGTTAGTGGGATTTAACAACTGGAACGTGGTCAGGGAAAGAGACAAAGAGAACCCTACCCAAATCACAGTCATTCTAGGGTGACTATAGGCATACCCAAGGCTGGGATCCCTTGAGGTGAAATATCAGTGGTTTAAAATTGCAGATGGGGAATAGACTTAATGAAAATATTCTAGCCAGGCCTTAAACAAAGAAACAAGCAAATAGCAATAACAAGCTCTCACTGGGGGGTCAATATCCAGAACTGCTATAATATATTATCTAAAATGTCCAGTTTATAACAAAAGATTACAAGATATACAAAGAAATAGGAAACCTATATATCACGGGGAAAAAAAGGAGGCAAAAGAAAGTGTTCATGAAAGCAACCAGATATTAGATTAAACAGACTTCTAAGAAGCTATTATAAAAGTGCTCAATAAACTATGATGAAAGAAAGAAAGAAAAAGAAAGAAAGAAAGAAAGAAAGTAAGTAAGAAAGAAAGAAATGTATGATAGTAATATATCAAATAGAGAATATAAATAGATGGATAGAAATTATTTTTAAAAGGATCACAGTGGAAATTCTGGAGTTACGAAGCACAATAACTGAAATAAAATACTAATTACTTTTTTTAATGGTTTTATGTATTTCTGAGAGAGAGAGAGAGACAGCATGAGCAGGGGAGGGTCAGAGAGAGAGGGAGACACAGAATCTGAAAAAGGCTCTAGGCTCTGAGCTGGCTGTCAGCACAGAGCTCGACGTGAGGCTTGAACCCATGAACCGTGAGGTCATTACCTGAGCCGAAGTCGGCACTTAACTGACTGAGCCACCCAGGCACCCCATAAAATACTAATTAGACTGGCTAAAGGGTAGATATGAATTGGCAAAAGAAAGTGTTCATGTACTTGAAGATAGATGTATAAAAAATATGCAAGCTGAAGAATAGAGAAAAAAAAGTGAAGAAAAATAAACAGAGCCTCAGAAAAATGTGGGACACTTTTAAGTGCACCAACATATGTGGAAAAATTACTAGAAGGAAAAGAAAAGAAAAGAATTGAAAAGAAAAGAAAGGAAAGGAAAATGAAAAAACAAAGAGAGTTGAAAATTTCAAGTTGAAAATTTCAAATAATTTTGAAAACATTAATCTACACATTCAGAAACATCCACAAACTCTAAGATGATAAATACAAAGAGATTCACAAGCAACATATCCTAGTAAAAATACTGAAAGTCACAGACAAGGAAAACAACCCGAAAGCAAGATAAAATTGACTCATCACTTCCAAGGGACCTCAATAAGATTAACTGAATTTTTATAGAAATAATGGAGGCCAGAAGGGCATGAGATAAAGTGTTTAGAGCAAACATTTTCCACCAAGGATCATATATTCAACAAAGCCTTCTTTCCAAAACAAACAAAAATATGAAATAGAGGCTTAGAAAGTAAATAAAAAGTTGAGGAAATTTGTCATCAGCAGACATGCCTTGTAAGAAATACTAAAGGAACTTTTTCAGACTAAAAGCTAATAACCTCAGATGGTAATTCAAATTCACATTTAAAAAAAAAAGCACCAGGAAAAGTAATTATATCATCATGAAAGATGGAATACATAATATTCTTTTTTCTTCACTGTTTTATAAAGCAATGTATAAAACAGTCAGTACGTAATATATTGTTGAGCATTTAATATTGAGAAATTCAAAAGTAATAGTTGGATGTTCCAGTGAGCTATCAAAAGAGTGCACACTAGAATTCCCTTTTACTGAGCTGAAATTGGATACCTTAGTCCTGTATTCAGAGGGGGGCACATAATCTGAATTAGTATCTCCTCTAGCTGGTTTAGGAGGAATGTCTTCTTTGATTGTTAATATTCAGTCTTTGTATCATTTAGAGCTGGTAGTCAAAAGACCTTCTTTCATAGAACATTAATACTCTTAGAAGAAAAGTTTCCTTTTATACATAAGCCAGTAAGCATTTGTTATAGACCAAATGTTTGTGCCTCTTCCCCCACCTACAATCGTTATCTTGAAGCCCCAACCCCCTGTCTGGCTGTCTATGGAGATAGATCTTTAAAGGAAATTAAGTAAGGTTTAATAATGTCATAGGGTGAGGCCCTCATCCTATAGAATTTATGCCCTTATAAGAACAGACACAAGAGAGCTTCTCTTTATCCACCCATTGGTGCACAAAGAAGAGGTCATGTGAACACACAGAAACATGGTGGCCTTCTACAAGCAGCCGGGAAAAGAGGCTTCAGAATGAAACATACCTTGCCTACCCCTTGATCTTAGACTTCCTAACCTCCAGAACTATGAGAACTAAAGGATGGTTAAGCCACCAGTTCACAGTGTTTGTCATAGCAGCCTGAACAAACTAAAATAGTATTGTAGCCACTAATTAATTCTGTATGAGTACTCCATGAAAACATCCAAATCTACCTAAGACATAGACTGTGTCTACCTGGATAATTCTTTAACTTTATTTGTGTAATTTTCCCACAGTTGTAACTAATTTCCTTCTTTCCATTTATTTTCTCTGTATTTTTAATAGAAAAAGAAAGGTCATTATTCATGTTATTATTTAAATATCTCACGTTCTTTCCACATTGTCCTCTTTTGTGCCCCCAGATAAAATAAGGCAGGCAAATTAAATTCTCTATTGTTTTACTGTTGTTCATCTGTTATTGTTGCCCTGATGCAGAAATTTTACTTTGCCCACCTCCCATTTATTTGAAATCATGGAGCTATGGCTTTTGTTTATTGTTTTACATGCAAGCAAAAGCAAGGAGCCAGAGTTAATGAAGGCACTTGCCAGACAAATATGTATGACAAAAGGAATAGATGAAGAGAAGATCACTAGTGTTTTGTCTTTTTGAAAAATATCTCCTGGCATTTGACTTGCAAATTTATTTCACATTTTCTTGGTCAAGTAAAATGGAACGAAAATGGCAAGAAGGTCAAAACAAAGGGAAAATGGCACTCTGTTCAGTAGGTATGGACAAGAAATTTAATTAAGTCCTTACTGTGTTTTGTCGGCTGTTTATTTCTAAAAACCTTGCAAAGCAATAAAGAAACCAAATCTATGAGCTTTCAGCAAATTAGATATAAATACATGTATATATAATACCAAATATGTGGAAATATAGAGTGAAGATCATATCATTTATATTTCATTTATACATTTTTACTCTAAACTCTAAGTCTTGTTGGAAACAATCAGGCTATAATGAATTAATAAAAACTAAGACTCTGTGAAGCCAATCTCCTCTATCACCATTATAACTTCCTACATAATTCATTGAAAGTGTACCAACACGCTAAATCTGCAACAAGCAACTGGATATTCTTAGCCACCTAATTAGATCATTTGTTACTTGTTTCCTTTTTCTTCCTCATTAGATTATCCACAATACCACCTGATGTCAATAATATCAATGTTTGTCAAGCATTAACTCATTATCAAATTTCCAAATATTTAAGAATAAAGTATATCTATCCCAAAGTAATGATCAAGGTTAATTCTGACTTTAGGAAAAAAACATTGTGAAATCTTTTGGAAGTTCTTAGAGTAACACCAAATAATGCTTAGTCAATAATTTGCAAGTACACATAGAATGAATTAACACTTTTTTAACAGAAAGACTCCTCTATAACCATGCAGCACTACAGCTCTATAAATATCTGCATTGTTTTCATTTTGCAGAGGAAATATACAGAATCTGGGCTATGCTTAGGCCCCATTAGTACCCTGTGAAAGTTATACATCTTCTAAAATTCCATAAGAAAATACATAAACTATTTTTAAATTGTTAATATAAAAGGAAAAAAATTAGATTATATGAAGATGGTATAGAATATAGTGGTCTGAATGGTGATGTCCATAAAGACATATCTAAGTTCTTTTTCTGGAAATCTGTGAATGTTACCTTACTTAGAAAAGAATCTTTGCAGATATAATTAAATTAAGTGCCTTGAGATAAGGAGTTCACCTGGGCTGACTTGCTAGGTACTAAGTTCAAAACATGTATCCTAATAAGAGTGTGGCAGAGGTAGATTAGATACAGAGTAAAGGAAGAAGTAATGTAACCACAGACGCAGACATTGGTATCATGTAACAACAAGCCATAGAATGTCTACAGCCAACAGAGAACTTTGAAGATAAAAAGGATGAATTTTCCTCCGGAATCTTTGGAGGGAGTATGGCCCTGTAAGCATACTGATTTTGGATTTCTGGCCTCCAGAACTGTGAGATAATATATCTCTGGTTGTTTTAAGCCCTACAGTTTGTGGTAATTTGTTCTGGGATCCCTAATAAACGAAGTTAATCAGTGGATCTGATTAAATGTGGTTTACAGAGGC